CCTGCCGCCCGCGTCGCCCGTGCCCGCCTCGTACCGCGACGTCGAGCCCATCGTCACCTCCAACCGCGGCAAGACCACCGCCAACTTCAAACGCAACGCGCCCGGCTACTCCAGCATGAGGGAGTCACGCACCGAAGAACGAGTGTTCGACTTCCGACCGCGGAAGTACTCCGACAATTTCACATCGGAACTGAACCAGAGCGATGATGTGGAGTACAGACACACCATGACGGAGAGGACGCGGCGGCTCTCCAAACTCCGGCGCGACTTCATGACTTCCAATCTACACGAGCCAGGTAGTACCAGCCCGTTCAACCGCTCTGGAACACGGGCATCGATGCCGGCTAACAGTACTGCTCCATTAAAATACAAAATTGAAAGTCCTAATTTATATAAATTCCCCTTCGCTGAGCCTTACTTGACGCCGACGCCTGTACGCAAAGTTATCGTTGATCTGGGGTCGCCCGATATAGAAAGCCCTGATGGCAAGGAGAATCGTGACCCTGAGAAAACACGACATTTGAGCTTATCAAATCACGAAACGCCGAGTAAATTAGAGCAACAGAAGTTATTCGAGGAGATATTGAAGAGGTATTCACCACAGAGGAAGCCAATCGACTGGGAGTTACCTCCAACTAAGCCGAGGGTGGTCGCGTCTGTTCCTAAATCTAATTCTAGTGTGGCCGACAGTATTGATAGTGCAGATAAAAAAGTAGACGACAAAACAGAAAAAGGTGATGATGACGTGTTTGAAAAGAAACAAAATGGTGAAGTGGCACCGGCTGTTTTAAGTGAAAATTCAGTTGATGAAAAATCTAGTGAGAAATCTGATAATAATCCTGTAGAAGTCAAAGCAGAGGTCATTCAAAATGGTCCTGAGTCGTTAAGTACGGATGTCGCTGCGTCGAAGGAACGTGAATCAAAAACATCACAGTCTGAATTGGATGAGAAACAGGACCAAGTCCCGGAACTATCACAATTCAGAGACAAATCAGTAGAGACTCAGCCAAGAAGCCACCTATGGACAAAGTTGTAGACTTAAGTATACCTGCACTGATACAGAAAATGACAGTTGAGGCTGAGAACCTGGAGAATACGAGTAAGCACAAGAAAGTGAAGAGAAAACGTAGTTTCTTGGACAAGTTACTAGGTCGCAAGAAGGACAAGTAGTAGCGATATAATAACATTGATGTGATATTGAATATACTGCAAATAATGCAGGACAGCCAAAGATTTAAAGAAGCATGACGTCATCTCTGTAATCTTTTGATTTGTAGATATATTTCTTTATATCGCAAAGGAATAAACCGATAGATTTTATTTATATCTAAAATATAATTAAGGCCAGTCTTCCTCTGTTTTTTATCGTAATGCATTGGTTTGGGTTATCACTAGCTGATAATATTAAGTGCCATGTGACACGCCCTATCTGCCAAATTCAAACCGTTTTATAACTAAATCATATTTTATGTGAATAATATTTTAAGGAGCTATTCAGAGTTGTGATGTTAACATTTCATATTTTGTTACTATTATTATTTGTTTAATTAATTAACGCTTGATGTAAATTTTCCGTAAACGTGTTGAAGTTATCAATGATGTAGGTACCTACTTGTATTCTGTAATGTCACGATCATAAAACTATTAATAACTGGTTCCATAATATTAATATTGTGACAATTCCCATGTAAATATTTCTGAGACAAGCTAGTGAACCTTCGAACCAAATATTTTCATAATAAATTTTACTGTTTTTATTAATCAACTGATTTTTATTGACATATACATTTCCGTAGAAATAAAATGCACAAAATCGCTTGAAATTATATTTCAGAAGCTATAAATTATTAATCAAAATATCACAGAGCTTAAGTATTTATTAAAATTAATAAATACATAAAAGCCGGCTAGCCATTTAGTAGATAGGTATTAAAAATAAAAAACAAATGACATTTAAAAAAGAAACAATGATTTGAAATTTAAATTAATTCAGAATTATTATTTATGGAACTGCCTGTATTATTTAGAATCACTTGATTGGCTAATAAATAATAGTTTGTTATGAAATCTGAACTAGAATGTACGAAAAATGCAGAAAACATACATTTTGACCGACATTCTATCATTGTTATGTTACATTGTACTTTATTTTGCGTGACTGAATCGAATTCAATGACAACTTTTTGTCGAAACATGTGTGGGCTATTTGCAAGACATAACAATTTACAATAGTCATACACTAACAAAATACATAACTTTAAATGTTATCATGTTGAAATATAATATTACATAACAAAAATTATCTTAAAACTAGCTGACCTGGGAAGCTTTATACCTTCTTCCCTGAACATTTCCAAATCAAAATTAGCCAAATCGGTTCAGCCGTTCTCGAGTTTTAGCGAAACTAACAAACGGAAATTGATTTTTATTTAAATAGATAACTTGTTACATACATCAGTAGGTAGCCAATTATTTCATAGTGAGGAAACTAATTCTGTTGCGCAAATAGCTATTAATTATTTAGAATATCCTCCTTCAAATGCGGAATACTTAAAAGGATAAAACCTATATATAGGGCAAAGTATACACGATTTATTAATACTTACTTATATTTCAACAAATTCGTTATACTTATATAGTTACAAAAATATATAAGCACATACATAAGTACATAATCATATAGTAGCTTGTTCCTATATATCCAATTTCCTTATTCCAGAATACAATGAACAAATATAATAAACATTTTTGAAATAAACATACGTGTAGGCACTACTGAGATTATCAGTTTTAAATTAGTAAAAAATACATATTTTGTTTTCTTAAATTGGACCATGCAGGCAACACCGCTTTCCGTGGATAACAGTAATAGCATAAATTGATAAAAACCTTTTTATACATGTACTGGACTTTTGTATAATAACAATTTAAATATTACAAATGATAGTTCAGTGACTTACAAAACCTGGTTTTACTTGCGATAAGTTTATAAAAACAATAAACATATATAGTACCTACTCAACACGGAACAGCACTCGAATATCTTACATATATATTACATGAATCGAATACACTCATGATGCACACTTAAATAATATGAATAATATATTTCCGCATATAATTTCAATCATGAGAATGCGATATTAATATTTTAAATAAAAATAATCTCAAAATGTATATTGCTAAGCGCCTAAGCCTAACCAAGGATAGATAGTCTGAATAAAATCTTCTTTAAAGTTTTTAAAAGATAAAGTGTCAGCAATCTGACTCTGAAATTATTCAAATTACTAGGAACAGTACAAAGTTAGGTGTTTATCAAATATAACAGCATTTTTGCTTGCTTTTTTATATCAAACATAGCAATAGCACCAGCAGAGTATGTGGCTAATACGAAAAAATTAGGCACTATTAAGTGCACCGCTGGATCCAGGTCGCTTCCTACCGGCCTATCTGGAACTCATTGGAGAAGGCCTATGTTCAGCATTGGACCTACTATGGCTGATATGATGATAAAGCGCTAAATAATTGTAATTATTGAGCTTTTTATTATCTTTATGGCGCTCATTATTAGGACAACTAATAACTGAAAAGACTATATAGCTAATAAGATTTTGTTAAACCCCAATAATAATAATTAGATCTGTTTTTGATTGAGACGAAGTTTCACTCGCATCTATTCTTTTATATACTAAAAAAATTCATCCAAATCTGTTCAGACTCTCTTGTGTGATTAAGTTTCAAATATTTATCATCAAATACTAGCTACTCTCGAGCGGTTTGTCCCGTTGCTCGGCTCTTATTTACGTGATATTTCATAGCCCATAGCATCACTCGATAAAAGGAATATTCAATACAAAATAATAGTCTTTTTCAGAATTATTCTCCTTATCTTCTTGTATATATTCCCTGCATCTTTTAGCATCTTCTCTGTCGAAACGCAGATCTACGCGAGACACGATGTGTTTTCTATTGTATCTCATATATATCGACAGACAAGAGATTAAGGCTGTTCTATATAGACATTATCTATAAAGTCCCAAATACGAATCACATACTTGTTTCAATTGCAAGTTACAACATAATTAAAAATTTCTTAAAATGTTCAATATAATAACATAGCAGTTATAGAGTACGATTTAGGCCAAAGAGCTAGTCAGATGTTTATAAAATAAATAAATAATTAATCACAATACATAATTATAGTTTCGACATTACACACACTTCTTAAACCACTACTGACATAAAATTAATTGCGCTACAGTAATTCGACATTAAAAATACAAAACATAATATATAAAACTATAATAAATATTTACTAAATACATTATTTGCTGAAGCTATTTGTTATTGAGAAGATAGTAATAGAGAACTTATTCTCTCCGTTCTTTTTCTCGCTATGTCTAGCAAATATTTTTTAGACTTGTACCGAATCATGTACTTACACAAACTTTAAAAATCCATTACATTTAATTACACAATGTCTATCAAAATAGATCCAATTTTACAATAATAGGTCACTAAAATACTGACTCATACTTAATCATCTTTGTATTATTGGAATATTATATACTATCTTCTGGCAGCGGCTTCACCCGCGTTCCCGTGGGATAAAAAGCAGCCTATGTGTTATTCCAGAACATAATCTACCAGTGCTCCAAATTTTATCTCGATCCCTTCAGCCGTTTTGACGTGAAAGAGTAACAAACATACAAACACATACACACACATACATCTTCACAAACTTTCGCACTTATTAGTATATAATATTAGTAGGAAGTAGGATTAGAATAAATTGAAACTTGATATAGTAAGAAGATATGTCCCAGATGGTCACAATAAATCCCAAAACATGTTTTAAAACAAGCTCAGGTCATAGTGCTTCAGCAATTTGATAGGAAAATACATAGGTATAATAAGATTATGCTACGCTACACTAACCAAAGCTACGCTCACAGCAAAAATTGATCTAAACTACATTAATAACTAAAAAAATATCACACTCAAGTCTTTTTGGTATTTGTATCCAGTCTCCGTACAGCTGCTTCTAGTGAGAACAGGTGGTCATCTTCAACATCAGGAGCTAGTTCCCTCATGGCGGCCGCTAAATTGTACAAATACTCCTTGTTGGTTCCACTAGGACCCTGACAGCTTAACACCTGTTTTGCTATCTCCTCTATCGATGCTTCACCTGAAAAAAGTTTGTATTTTTGGTGAGTATTTAGTTCTTTATAAGTATAGCAACTCTCTATTTTCATCACTACATAGTATAAAACAAAGTCGCTATCCACCGTCTGTCTGTCCCTATGTATGCTTCGATCTTTAAAACTACGCAACGGATTTTGATGTTGTTTTTTTCATAGATAGAGTGATTCTTAAGAAAGGTTTATATGTATAAAACATGATTATTGCACCCGTGCAAAGCCGGGGCGGGTCCGCGGGTCGCTAGTCTATCTATAAAATGCAACACTGAATTTGTTGCTAAGCGCAAATCTCGAGAACTGCTGAACCGATTTCTCTAATTTTTTTATAGTTGGTTTTGTTATTGTTAGTAGAGGGTTAATATATAATAAAAAAACATTTTTTTAAGGCGATACAATATTCCCAGAGTCCACTATTAGTTAATATAATTATTATGAAGTGCCTATAGAAATGGAATAGCAACTTGTATCTTAGTACAATTACATGATACATCATTATTAAAGAAATGTTACAAGATATTAAATCAATACAAATATGAATTGTATGCATTGTTGTTTTTTAATTTTTATATTTCATATACATTTATTAAAAAAAATAAATTACGAAATAGAACAATTTGTTAAAATATGTAAATGTTAAATATCTCTTTTTAAAACCAGTTAAGTAATGCACAAGCGTCTCGATAGATGATGCTATAGGGTAGTTAGATGGGTAAAACAGAAGAATTTCATGAAAAGATAGCTTCGATGTTGTCTTCCATGTTAAATATGTATTATAATTCCCATCCTGTTTCATGGAAGGATGAAGTGCTAAGTTAGAGGCAATAAGTAACAATAATAACAGAGTAGTTGTGATCAGGAGTTCATCATCAGATCATTCATAAATTATAGTACAGAAATCTTAGTCATTATTAGTATTAAAATAAAAATAACACCTAACCCACCTGCATAAGATTCATTATCTTCCGTTGCGACATACAAAGTCAACTGGAATGGTTCTATATTATCTTTAGGATGGAATGTGACAGTTTTCTTGCTGTATCCATTCTTCTCTCTGAAGTCCAAGTGTTGGGAAACTTGAGCTGCATCTTCAGATCTTATTTTGTAAGCTACACCCCATACTTTACTGTTTGGGTCATTGCTTTGTATTAGGGTCACTACTCTGCCTGGCTGGAAAGTAAGTTGAAAAATTAGAAAATATAAATAATGTACCTAGATGGTAATGTCATAGAATTCAATTTTTTTATTTTGTTTGTTTTTTTCAACTGTTTATAAGTTGGATCAAAATAGTACTGTTTTATCAATTACATTTTATCAATTACATAGTACTGTTTTATCAATTACACACATAACATAACTGGTTACCTCTCAGGTATAAAAAGTTTAACTAATGCTATGTAATTTTTAGTGAAATGAATAATGAATTATTATACTAAAAAAAATATTAATTCTTTTTTTAGTATTTTACTGTTTTTATTATGTTAATTATTCCTTCAATTAGAGTCATGTGTGCTTACTGTGCTTTTATAACATCAATCTTTTAACTCTTTGATCTTATAACATCACTACATAGTATAAAACAAAGTCGCTTTCTGCTGTCTGTCTGTTGTATATATGCTTAGATGTTTAAAATTACGCAACGGATTTTGATGTGTTTTTTTTTTTCATAGATACAGTGATTCTTAAACTGTCAAACACCGAGCGGTCACCGGTGACCGCAACCTATTGTTCTTTAATTGTGTCTATAATGACGGTACTCAACGAGTTAAGGAAGGTTTACTTATATGTATAATACATGAATATTGTACCCGTGCGAAGCCGGGGCGGGTCGCTAGTAATAAAAGAATAATAATTAAAATACTTGAAATTCCTCTCTCTGCAGCCCTGACCACCAGCAGCATGGATTTCTTCCGTTACTGGTGGGCTACAGCTTTTTATATTTGTAAATGTATATATGTATTACAGTCAAAACCGCTTACAACGACATCGTTTATAACGACGAATCGGGTACAACGACGAAAATTTCTGAGGTCCAGTCTATTGTCCTATAAAGCATAAAGATATTGGTTATAGCGACTATTGGTTATAACGATCATAATTAATCGGTCCCTTTGATGTTGTTATAAACGGTTTTGACTGTATATCAAATATCTGCTCTGCTGCCTCGTTGGCTCATTGGTCCCAAGTGCGACAGCCGGTCATGAGGTCTCGGGTTCGATTCCCGGGTTGTGCAAAGTATTACTGGGTTTTTAAAAAAATTTCAGCAATAGCATGGAGTCTGTAATTGTGTCTGGTATACGGCAACAGGCTCACCCCCTATTAGATGGGACTCATTACATAAATAGCGAAAAGTGGGTGTTCCACTGTACAGTGGCATAATGTACACCTCTGCCTACTCCTTTGGGGCCAAAAGGCATGATGTTATGATGTTATGTTATAAATATTTAAAAATATACTAACCAAGTAAAGAAAATAAAGGATATTAAAATACTTAAAAGTTAAATACATTTTTATATATATTTAATGGGCCTACACTTGGACACTAGTCCACAGCCTCACCTGGTGGTAAGTGATAATGTTAAGAAAATAACACAATAGTAAAACAACAACAAAAGGATTTGCAGTATTTAGTAGGTAGGTAGTGAGTGGTACTTACATGGTACTTACAACATAAATAGCTCATAAAAATAAATAATGATTGCTATAACATAGAGATTTTTACTGTCTAATAAGTATTTAATAAATCAATCATTAAGCTACGGCTTAGTATAATTAAGTATATTAATTTAATACTTCAGAATGTCAGGAAGCTTTTTTAAAAGGTAAGTAAGTGAATATTACCAAAGTAAACAATTGGAAGGAGGTTAATTATAGAAGTTACCTACTATGGTTATGTAAAACTCATATTGATATGGTTCACAGCCATTTTTCCTAGAATAGGACCTGTGCTTAGTGGCTTTATGGCAACCTTGGCGATTGACAGACAAAGACTTTGTTCTTATTTTGTTTAATACTTTTATGGGTTTATTTTCTACTTACTTTCTCAGGTACACCTCGGTGGTCAATGCTGTGTTGGTAAAATCGGCGTAAATAACCTTTTATGTAACCTACTACCTTGTATTCAAATTTGAAATCTGCCTTCCACACGAGTGACCCATATCCAAATATCCACATTATTATTCCTTTTTCGTAATTAGCTGCTGCTTTTATAGTTTCAATTTACTTAAAATCTAAGCTATGAATCAACCAATTTTTGATAATAATTAGTTTTGTCAACAAATCTGATGTCAAAAGTTTGTGTTAAACTGTCAAAGTTCAGTCAGATGTCAATGACAAAAAGCAATTTCATTATATTTAAAGCTTTCCACACACCACTCACCACACACGTCCGCTTTTAAAAGGCTTTACTGTTGACTGTTTCTCATTATGGTTATTTCTATGGAAATTGATTATAAAAAGGTCATTGCTACAGTAATTTTGCAGGTACATAATCATGTCGTTAGACCACAAAATTGATTAGTTATTGCGTATTAGGGCCGTGATGCAGCCAGATAGGACATTCGATCGTGTTAATTTGAATAAATTTACAGTGGACTTTAGTTCCGCACTCAAATGCCCACTACAACTATTCGCTACTAGGACATTCGATCGTGTTAATTTGAATAAATTTACACTGGAATTTAGTACCGCACTCAAATGCCCACTACAACTATTTGCTACTCCTTTTTTGTGAGTATTTCGCCTTGTACTACCTACCTACCTAATATTGTCTTTTAACGTTAGCGAACTGTACCCATTAAATTGGTACATGTAGGTCCAATGAAGGAAACATAAAGAAAAATGTATCGTCTTTTTACTTCAGAAAGTCAGAATGTCGCTCTTCTTGGTTCGGGACTATTGCTACCTACTCTTTGGCCGATGGGCCATATAGATGATAGATGTATCAACGCGATTTCTGTTGATAGTTCAAATATGTCATCTTTAAATCTGTAAAACGTTAAAATTATGTTAATTTTCAATACCATCAGATTAAAATGATTCTTGGTGAGATCCCAAATAGTATCCAATGATTAGAAAATGAAATAGATATACAGAATAGCAGGCTCTATGTCTGTAGCTCAGAAACTGTGTGATGAAATTGTGGAGCCTGCGTTTAGAACACCCCCTAACATACATAACACGTCCAGAAAATATTTGTTTCCAACTTCAAGCAGTAAACGCTACAACCTTCCATATACCAATTCAGGTTCAGCTACCAGATCCATAATAATACCGAAGAAAAGGCAATCTGTCAATAGACCGTTACCTCGTGAAGGCATTCTCTCCAAATCTTCTTTTCGAACGAAGGGCAGGGGTTATGAGGTTTCAATCTACGACAAAGATTTTGTTGATACAGCCATCAACACAATTGTGACTGGGCCTTTGACGTGTGATCATGATTGCGTTACAAATGTCCGCAAACGCGATACTAGTAATTATAACTGTGGCTGCAAATGCTCTCATAGAAAACTCTCTAACTGCAGAGCGATAGCCAAACAGGTGCAAACCGTTAATACCAGGAATTACTTATTCGCGGACAAGGCCTGTTCTCAAGTGGTGGAGACGATGAGTTGTGGTACCCAGTTTCTAGAAAGATTGAGCCATGCTAGTAAACGGGAGAGACGACATGAAAAGATGCACAATCACAACTGCACTATGGCAGAATTAGCTGCAAGGCAATCTGGTTATGCAAAACTTATGAAGGAGTCAGGCGCTGTTCTTGGTCAACGAGCTCATGTGATCATGACTAGTGGGAAACGTTGGGCCCTTAATCATTTCCCTGTTCATGGTCCCGACTTTTAAAAAACTATTGTTGCAATGTAGTAAATAAATAGTAAATATTTAATTAAATCCTTTATTATTTATTAATAATATAATTTTTCACTAACAAAAGTAGATAACCAGACCAGGACCAGGCAGGTAGGTATCTACCTTAACTACTCGGTTCTTAAGCCAAACGAGTAGTACCTACGAAAAGTTATTTGACGATTAAAATCGATCCAGATTTCTATACCTACTTAATGGTATAGAAATCTAAAAATAGGTTTTATCTTAAGTAACTAAAATCTTACGATAGTTATTATCAAAACAGGTTAAATCTTATAAGTAGGTGCGTACCTACCTACCTACAAAATAATTTCGGTATCCTACGCTGCCTTACAGCGATTTTTATTTTAATGCATAATAATAGTATTTTAGTTACAAGAGCAGTTATGAGTTTTCATAACTTATGACAAAATACCATTTATTTATTACAGAAAGCAGAGGTCGTATAATATCACACTGTCCATAACCTATTGGCAAATACGGTGGTTCGCAGAAACTCCATTGAGTCTCTAAGATTATTTTATTTATTGTTACTTTTTAAAATAAAACTCCGCTCAATGGGATATTGGTAATAATTTGAATAGGAACTGCCGGTAAAATATTGGGAACCTGAATGTTTTCTCTTTGTTGGACAAAGAACTAATATTACCTTAGAACTTACCTGAATAGTTCATGGTTTAGATATTGCTTACTTTTGCTTCCAGCTACGATATTGACCTACTGCAGTTCAAAGGTTTCCCTACCCTCTACCATATTTACCTGCGACTAATCCCAAGTTAGTATGGCCATCTTTTCCTGGGTCTGCTATCGACTGTACTGTTGCACCATCGACGTCTATATCGACATGAGCTGGTCTACACTCAGTACCTACCTAATAATTATAATTTGTTGGTTTGTGGATAAGTACCTACATAGACCTATAATTTTTCTATGCTTGATGTTTTGTACCGATATGTATACTGTAGAACAAGTTTTTTGTGTAAGTAACTACGTGGAGATAAATGTTCCAAGAATTACTTATAATAATCACGCCTTTCACTCTGCGAAGGGATGGACATGGGTCAGGGACAACAATATAAATCTAAATATTTTCCATTCTCATGTCATAAATCCCACGTGATTGGGGGCTTTCAAGGTCCAAGTGTAGATATTTCTACACAAAATATCGATCAACATGAAAGACACAAAAGATTTAGAAATAGTTTACTTGAATTAGATACTCGCAGATACCTAAGTTAGTATGTAGATAGATCGAAGGTGTCTATAATGTTGGGACCTAATCAATAGCTCCGTATGTTGTTGAGCTGCTTCCTCTTTCTGCGTGGTATAATGGGACCTACCTAACCTCGTGCGCCGTGGCGTAATTACTTTCACGGTGACAAATAGGCCATGAGTCCCCGATCAGAGGTTTTCATCGAACTTGTTTGAAATTGAGAACGGGGTTCCTATCTGATGAAAATGCCACGGGCCCCGTAAGGTATAGTTACGTGCGTATAGATTTTTAGAATCTGTAGTAGCGTATAGATTGAATAAGGCAATATCACGCTTCAATCCCGGAAGGTGAGAACCACCCACTTCTCACATTTTTTTTTATAAGTCCCATATAACGACGTATGAACCTATCACGATACTCCCGACACCATTCTAAACTCGAGCTAATTTTAAGACTTCGTGGTTATTAAGAATGGTACCTAAATACTCTTTTAACTAACTATTATAAAAAATTCAATCATAATAATTACAATATTAACTAGAGGTAGTACATAACCATGTGACCCTTTTTTTTACTTTACTTATTTTTTAGATTTTTATAATTTTAATAATTTGATTAATGTAATTGGTGTATACCGAATCGTGCAGATAAATAAAGTTGGAGTGTCTGTTTGTAATATTAAAATAACCGCTTTTACTACATGCATATGAATACATATGCATGAATACATAAGACACACATAACAAAATATCTTTTTTTTTATTTTTGTTTTGTCTTGTCTATTTGTACTGGCTGATCTCTGGAATGGCCTCTGTTCTTCCAGGTGTCCATGGGCGTCGCCGATTGCTTACCCTCACATGATCCGTCTGTTCGTTTACCGACATATCTCATAAAAAAAGTTGGTGGTATTTTTCATCCTGGCATTTTCCCAATCATTTACAACATAATACAAAACATCATAATACTAATACTATCCCATTTCATTTTAGATCAATCAATATTAGCAATAAGACTTATGTAATTGAATCATTTTATTACACTTGCCACTAAGTTTAGTGTCTTCGATATATGGACTATCCAACAAAAAAATGTTCAAATTTATTAGTAAAGATATTTGTTACTTATTGCAATATACGAAAATTAAAACTGCATTTATACAATCCATATTTATATTTACTTTTAAAACCCATTGTAATGGATGGTCAAGTCAATTTTTACAAATAAAACACAAGTCTGTACTACTTCATTGCATTTTTTTTTATATGAGGGTTGAGGCCTCATGCTTAGTAGTTGCACTTAACTTCAAGTTGTAGTTAAATGCAACTGCTACTTGTAGTTTACAAGAAGTCCACGGAACATTTACTACAAACATTAATACTTACTAGGAGGCTGTTGCACAGATGAATATCCTTCATAATGTATTCTGGTGTGATATATTACTTTGTCATAGTATCCATCAGGTCAGCCTTCTTTCATCATTTTAACCCATTTAGGATGAAGATAAAATAAAAAAATGCATTGAAATAATTAAAACGGTTTTAATCCTAGTCCACTACGACTGCATACAAAATTAGTGCTTTCATCTTGTTTTGTACCTAAAAAAATAATACAACAATGTGTAATAGACAATACGTATAATAACAATAAAAAGGAAAATTTTGTCATTACATTAATTAGTTCAATTATTTCATTACCGATGGATATGTTCATCATAAACATAATGACAGTTCAAATCTGTAGAATATCTTGTATAAACACAGATTTGTTCTGTGAATTGTAAAAAAAGGCACACAGGCCCACTATAAACAATAACAATCAGTAGCACTAGTATTGCTTATACTTAAAAATCATTTTGACTTTTATGGAATTTCCTGAATTCCCTAAGAACCTAGTACTTATACTTTGTTAGAGTAAGTGGTGCACAGCATATTTATATTTTCTAGTCAGTCTATGCAAGTTTATTGTATCTCAATGCTTGCTTCAGAAAACAACTGGGAATGCTTGTGCACCCATATCTTAATATTATATGCTTCTTTCCTAAGCCTAATCACTGAGGCTTGTTCATACATCTCTGCAATAGAATATATACTAACTATCAACAATTAATAAGCAGTGATGTGTAATTGTGCTAGCTAATGTTTTATTAATTATTGTATAAAATTGCACTACTTATTGCCATTGTCCATAGTGGGTGGCATGTTTCAAAAGACAAAGCTCACATGTTCTGTGGTGCCGGACTGGCCGGGGGTGGCTGGGCTTCCAAATTTTTAATTAGCTGGGCTAGCCAGTGCTTTGTCGAATTGTCCTCCTGGAGACAGGCAGCAAATGTTGAATCCCTCAATTGATCTGGCAAGCACTGCCTCAGAGCCTCTCTAGCTCTTGCATTGTCGGATAGACGTAGGTAGCACCTCACTACATGCTTTAACAACCGAGCTGATGGGTCTTTGGCCAGAGAGAGTACCATTTTTCCTAATATCATAGCTACATGCGAAAATCTGTCATAGGTCTGGCATATGTAACAAAGGCCACTATCATCAAGTAATATCTTCTGTAAAATAAATGTAGCTACAGTCTTGGACAGCTCGGACCCATTCTCCATGATTCGCAGACACAACGGAATAATTTCAGTTGTCAACAGAAATGTAATTACTTCTTGTTCATCTGTTTTCACTAGGGCTCCAATGACTCCAAGACTAGTTAGGCGTAAGTATTCAAATGGCCGCGTTTTAGATACGGTATGAAGGAAAGGGTACAAGAATAAAGGCACGTGTGCTTGTAGGAAGGCCGAGCGTGTCTCCGGGTGTGAGGCGACGCACTGCATGAGCGCTAGGGCATTGCAGACACGGTTGCTCTGGTGAGCTGTGAGCGTCGGCGGAATCATAGCCACGTAGATGTTGGTGATTTCTTGCAGTAGCGCCGATATAGTGCCGAAACTATGCCACAACATGGGTGCCAGGTCTGGCACATTCTCACGTTTCTTGCTCAGCTCCAATAACGCGTTTTCGCGTGTCTCAGGATTGCACAACTCCAAGATCCACGTAAATATCTTTTCTCTGTCCACGGACTGCATATTCGCCGCCGGGCTCTGCTGGGCACTCATGTTAATCATTGATCTTGTTCTTTTAAGCTTTAGGTATAAATTGGCTTCTTACAACACACGTAGCCTACGTGTTAGTGCAAATTCACTGCATGTTAGAGTTCATGTTAAACGATCATAGAACTATGATAAATGTGTATAAGGTAAAATTTCGTTAAGTAGATTAACAATATAATTATATATTACACTATTTCTGGAAAGCGTCGGACAATCGCAAGCAATCAACAAGACGACTTTGACACGACTAGAGAAGTGGCACTGGCAGCTCACTGGACTGAACTGACTAACTTCTTGAGCTTGACTACGTCACTACGTAGCTAGCTAGTCTACGATACATTTTACATTAAGAGTGAATGATTGATGAAATTAGTGCTACCACTTCTAGATATTTTTCTCCCCAAAAGTATCATACACGTTTCTCAAAGATTTATTTTAATTTAAACAATCTTTTCTCCTTGTTTTCAGTTAAGCTTTTTATTCTTTAACTTTTCACGATAGGAGACTGGTTTAAACACAAAAATTAAAGTTTGATTTAATAACAGTGTTTTTATTCCCTGAAATGGTGAGTTACCTTTCCATAGAAGAGGCTGCAAGGGGATATTCTCCTTCCTAGAGCAATAATATGATAATTTTTTTAATACACGTCACTAAGTGAAATAAATAAAATACTAAAATATCCGTCTGCATTGATTTAGCTCCTAAATATAGGGGTAAACTTGATAAGCTGGTAACCTTAACAGAAAAGTGCCTACCATCCCTATTTTAGCATAGATTAAACACAAAAAACTAAAATAAATAAATATTTTACTTTTATAGGTCTTCTATTTTTGATTTGAACCATTTGACGATCCAAAACAATTATCATAGAAAATATAATTAAAAACCAATTTATACACTTTGATAAAGCATGCAAGGCGTTGTTTATCGGTTTTTCTGTTTAGTATTTTCGTACCACTCTAAACTCTCTTTGACATTACATGCTGTGTGCTGTTGCTGTCAGAAATTAATAAATACTGACTGCTGATGCTGTGTTCAGTCTAAGTATTTATATGTATTTTATTCAAACAGCATCCTCAATTTGAGTGCTATTTACTTGGTGATCGTTTCATTTAAAACTCTCAACAGTTTAGTGTCGTTAATTTCTTTTGAGTTGATATGAGTGCTGTATTTTGAACTTTAATTATTAAATATTATGTGAAAGTTGTGTGTTCTCCAATTTCCTACCCACGTTCATTGGTTTGTATGATTTTAATTGTTTATAGTGAGTCTGTGTATCACTTTCATCGTAAATAAAGCTAGCTGTACGACCCTGTGCTGATTTCAGTGTAATATTATCAGCCTCCGGTTGATTCATCGCGTTGACGCCATTGCCGAGTATAATTAAGTATAATAAACAAATTGGAATGTGTTACAGCGCTCCATAGTCTCATTTGGCACGCACTAAAACTGTTAGCTTACGAAACTAGGTTTATTGTGTTAGGCCACGAGTATAAACACTAGTAATTAAAACTGTTTGAGAGAGCCTGTTAAAATAGAAAAAATGTACAGAAATAGTGCATACTAGTATGCAGTGAAACTAATATAAAGGGTGCATTAAATTATTATAGCTCTTATGTTTTTTCATTAAGGACCTTTCTTGATTGCAATTAAATCTGTTTTTAAGTAGACCATATACTTAAATAATTATAATGTTCAATCTAAAATTAATTCTCATAAAAATGTATTTATTTCTATTTGACTCTGATGTATAGATACTGTTTAGTTAGAAGTATGTAGTGTGCTTATTTTTCATATAAAACTATAGAATATTATCATTAAATGATTGTCTTCTTGATAAGTATTGAATATTTCTAGTTGGAAACTTTCTTATTTTGCTGTTCTAAATAAAAACTTCTTATTTTAGAAAAATGGAGGTGTCCCATTCCCTGACTCTGAATGAGTCAGCTCTGCAACAGTTGCCTGATGACAAGAAGCCACATTTCATATTTGAGTGGCTCCGGTTTCTTGACAAAGTACTTGTGGCTGCACATAAGGTAACTTACTTTTCTCCAACCTTTGTTATTGAACCTAGGAGCAACTAGTAAAATTCATATTTATTGTACGTGCATTGTATCATCATATTCTCATTTTTAAAAAGTACAAATATGTATGTAAACGATACAAAGTTTTAAACCCTTAGAGAATCTTAAATATGTTCATATGCTCAGGGAGACCCACTCTCTCCTCTTCTCTTTAATCTAATTACCCATAAAATATGTCATAAACTACAGAATGTGGAGGCTTCACAATATGCAGATGACTTTGTAGTGTATATTAGTGATAAGGACGTCAAATTATGTGAAAAAGTCATTCAAGATACGTTGGATACAACCGTAGTATTGTTAACTGAATTAGGCTTAACGCTTTCGCCAAACAAGACGCAATATTGCTTTTTTAGTAAGGGCCATAGAAGAATTATTCCTGTTTTAAAGGTAGGCTACCAACAATTGACGTATACAGAAAATGTCAAATATTTGGGTATGTGGCTGGACAGGAGTCTAAAGTGGGGCAAACACATTAATGAAATTTCGTGTAAATGTTCCAAATTTTTAAATATATTGAAAGTATTGGCCGGAAGTTCTTGGGGAATACACATGTCACACTTGCGACGATTATATATATCCCTAATTAGAGCTCGTATTGACTATGCTTGTTTCTTATATGATTGTAGTGTTAAAAGTCACGTTTCCAAACTTGATAAAATTCAAAATCAAGCGTTGAGGGTGATAGGGGGATTTTAAAGAGCACTCCAATTTATGTCATGGAGAGTGAGTTACATGTGGCACCTCTGTTTGTTAGGAGACAATATCTAGCATATAAATATTTGATTAAAAACAGATCAAAGTCGATGAACAGTACTAATAAATTAATAGCCGAAATAAATAGCTTAATATAACAACAGGTATTGGACTAATAAAAGAAACCCTACTTGCACAATCCTTCCAGGATACGAATCAAATCGATTGTATTTCAATGGACACTCTTAAAATGTTTAGCTTTGAAATCTGGTTGTCAGCTGTAGGTTTCCAGAAATACTTAGAAGATAACCTAGAATGTATACCTTAGCAAAATCTAAATATGAACTAACGTTCTAATGAACAATGTCCTGAGAGAAGTATGTGTGTGAAGTATGGGCTGGCATAAATTATACTCTGACGGTTCCAAGGGAGCTGATGGCTTGGGCGCAGGTTTTTTGATCAAAGCTGTAATTACAAACAAGGTTTTAAAGTTATCTCAAATGTATCCATAATGACGCTTGAACTCATTGCAATTCATCAAGCTTTGATTTACACAGTGAGGAATAATTACAACAAAATAGTTATTTTCACTGACAGCAAGAGCGCTATCTGCACCTGGCTCGATGCGCCTCTGGTTGCAGCAGAGGTACTCGACAGCCTACGACATCCTAAAAATAATTTTGAATTTTAGCAAAAATAACACAGAGGTGAAGGTGCAATGGGTTCCAGCACACATAGGTTTAATGGGAAATGAGGAAGCTGACCGTCTGTCGAAATTAGCTGCTAAGGAAGGAATGCAACTTGATTATACACCTGATTATTTGGAATATTTACCTGAGTTTAAACAGAAATGCTTTGATGTTTGGCAAAATCATTTTACAGTGACATCAAAAGAAAAAGGCATATGGTACAAGACCATTCAAGGTAAGCTTCCTCAGATTCCCTGGTTTGAGAATAGTAAGGTAGGCAGAAATTATATTAAGTTATTGTTACGATTACGTTCGGACACTATCCATCAGCGAAATTTGGGTTTCTAATGAAAAAAATAAACTCACCTAATTGTACGACGTGCAACGTTATAGAAGACGTTCAACATCTACTGATGGATTGTGTCAGGAATCAAAGTCAACGGAACGATCTGGTCAATGAATTCCAGCTAAATATGCAAGAGGTGGGGTTGATACAATCTATTTTAGCTCAGCCAAATTCTAAATTAGCAAAACGATTGTGTCAGTTGATGTATTTCGTTGATTAAGACTAAGTTAATTAGGAACTTTCATAGTTAATTTTAAGGTTTTGTTTATATAATGGTTGTAGGTAGTATTAGGTACGATGGGGTTGGCGTATCCTCATGGATAAAAACCCCGTATTAATTAAATGTAGAATAAAAAAAAAAAAAATATGTTTCTTATATGCTTATTGCATTCTACACAAGAATTATTTTTATTAGTATATAATGATGTTTATGTTTTAGCATAAATAAACAATGCATTGTACATGAAATTATAGGATAGTCCTATAATTCATAATGGATTATGTTAACAATAAGATTATGTATTGACCACTTGTCTGACGGTAAGCAAGACACAATACAATAATACATTGTGTCTTGTTTAGACCTGCACCCTGGCACCATCATCATCATCAACAGCCTACAAGTAACCATTGCCAAATATAAATAAAAGTACATATAACTCAGAAAAAGACACATTGGTACTTGCCATGGGTAGGTTTCCAACCCGCACCCCCTTGTATGAGAACTGTGCGTCTTAAACTTCTGGCCTACCACTACACGGCAACATGTGTTATGAGAAACTAAAGTGTATTTTTATTTAACCATTATTCAATCCTAATAAGCCCTATTTGTAACTTGAATAAACCTATTTGATTATATTGAATTTTTCTTTTCAGTCTGACATAAAAAGCTGCCAGCAAAAGCTAGTGGCTCAGCTAGTGAACCTCTTACGTGAGAACCTCGGTGGACCAGCAAGGAGGTTGTTAGCTAGGAATTTGGCTACTCTGTTCTCTGTTGGAGACACATTCCTGCTGTTCGATACTGTGAATAAATGCAATGACATCATCAAAGTTAAAGATGATTCGCCATCTTATTTGCCGACTAGACTGTAAGTGATAATGTTTCTAAATTTTTCATGTGTTAATTGGTGTGTGCATTGTAAGCATAGACTGCATGATTGCTATTCAGAATTTTGTTTTTAGAAACCAGTA